GAAGTGTTGACAGAGTCCACATTAAACCAATAACAACATCTCAGTGTGCTGGGGATTTTCCATCAACAAGAGGCAAAACAGACTGCAGATTTAGCCAATACTTTAATCATCTCTTCTCTGTGCCGAGAGAAAGAAATCTTACCCAAAAAACCCACCCAACCCCCCAAAATACAATGCAAACAAATATAAACCCTGCAATTCCCTGAGGAAAAGGCAGATTAGTGACACAACCCCCTTTTTTATTATACACAGCACCACAGAACTGAAACCCTGATACCTGATGAGGTAATTTTAGTCTCTGCATCCATATCCCACGGCATCATGAGTCACATCACTTCCGCTTTGCCCAGGAAAGCGAGTAGGATCATCGAATCCCAGACTGGGTTGGGTTGGAAGGAACCTTTAAAGGTCGTCCAGCCCAATCCCCCTGAACTCAGCAAGGACATCTGCAACTAGAGCGGGTTGCTCAGAGCCCCGGCCAACCTCCACTGGAATGGTTCCAGGGATGGGGCATCAACCACCTCTCTGGGCAACCGGAGCCTCGCCATCAAAAATTTCTTCCTTCTCTCTAGTCTAAATCTCCCTCTTTTAGTTTCAAACCATCCCCCCTTGTCCTGGTGCAACAAACCCTGCTAAAAAGTCTGTCCCCAGCTTTCTGACAGGACACTTCAATGGTAATTAAAGAAAGGCTACAAGAAGATCTTCCCAGAGCCTTCTCTTCTCCAGGCCGCACAACCCCAACTCTCTCAGCTTGGCTTTGCAGCAGACGGGTTCCAGCCTGAAGATCATTTTTGTGGCCTTAGAACAGAGGGGTCAGGAACTGCAGCTTTGTGATGCACAGCACACTCTGCTCAGGCACTGGGTCCTGCCATCTCCTCTGCTGCTGCCAGGGTCCCTGAGCCACAGAATGGCTCAAGAAGGGGCGCATGGTGGATAGTCCAGGAAACCTTGGCAATCCTGATGGTCCCCTCTCTGGAGCAGGACAATAGGACCAGCACAGCTCCAGCTTGGCACATTCTAGAATCTTGCAGGTGATGTGAGCAGAGCTTGTCTTCTTGCAAGGCTGAGGATGCCCTGGTTGGCATTGTGTTAGCTTAGAAGAGAGAGCTTCCTTCCTTTCCAGCTCCTCAGGGCAAAGGAAGAGGAAGGATGAGATTACTTTCATAGGCTGGAGCAGCCACCGTCTGTCCCCTGTACTTCTAAAACCCGCAGTTCCCCTTCCAAGTAAGTCTGACCAACAGTCTCTTCACCCCAGTCATGACAGTGTCAGTGCACACTTGGGGTACCACTTTGTCCCCCCAGATGGTATTCCACGGGCACCATCTCTCGCAAATGCATCTTTAGGGGCTCCTAGTCACGTGAGGAGGTGTGAGGAAATTGGGTTATTTAGGTATCTTGTAGCCAGCCAGGGCACAACCTGTACCCCATAAGCTGGCCAGGGCGTCTCCAGTAGACTCACAAGTACAAGGACACTGAATCATTTAGAAAGTCAAACAGTGCTGTTGTGGTGGTCACATCACTCTGAGTGTGCTGCTGGCTGCGAAGACCACTAGCCATGGCTCAGAGAGGAATAAATCTCAGGCTCAGGCATGGAACAGTTAGGGAAACACCTTCTTGTTATGCCTTCCCACCTTGGAGAAGGCTGGAGGCAGCATCTGTTGTGTGTCCTCTCCTCTGTCCTTCCAGTGACTTGGTTGGGTCTAATCTAGGCACAGCTTTGTCCCACCACCCTGCTCATGACAAAGACATCTGGCAGGTCTATGGGGATAGCTCCTTTCCCCTTCAGCTTGGCCTTAGAGTGGAGCTGTAAGGGACATGCTGAGTGTGATGTTCTGGCTGACAGATGAACAGAAGAAAATGCATTGAAACAGATCAGGAAGGGCCTGGCTGGACCAGCTTGTCTCATTGTCCTTCTGTCCTGTGCTGAAGATTCCACAGAACTCAGCTCAGATAGGAGACGAGTCTCCAAACTGGCAGCATTCAGTGTCCAGAGGACTTCAGGAAACCTGGCACATCAGTCTGTCCTCTCCATAAGCCCAGCCCGGGGGCAGCTGTACCCTCAGACCATCACTGGCAGAGTGGCAGGCTCAGAACTGCAGCCCCTCATCTTCCTCAGCAGCTGAGCATTGCTGCTCCTCTCCCATTAGCTCCCATCAGCTGCCACCAGTGAGATGCATCGAGGTGGGTGAGAGGGTGGCCGTAGGTGGGAGGAAAGGGGACAGCTGAGTCACCTCTCAGGGTGGGTGTAAATGCTCCTGGTCCCTTTGGATACTTCACTGCCGAGAAGAGATGCAAGGGCACAAATGCACGGTGTCATCTCTGCTCAGATGAGTCACGGATTGACTCTTCAAGTGCAGGCAGCAGCTCTTGGTATCATCACTAGTGCTTCCACAAGACATTTACCAACCTCTGGGACCCCTGAGGGCCCCCAGCAGTGTTCAGTTTCTCGTGCTTGGGTTTGTTTTTTTTCTCTCTGTCTCTTGCTGCTGCTGTGTGTTTGGTCTCACTGAGGAGTAAGGAAGGCCAGCATCCAAGGACGCTGATGCCTGCCAGGCGAAGCTCCCAGACCTAGCCCTGGCACAGAAATGTGCTGTCTCTGAGGAGGTGACATGCTCCTCATAAGGCTGAGCACTGAATTACTCCATGTAAACAAAAAGAAATAGAGTTGCTTCCCGTTGAGAAATTGGTTTTCACTGGGTTTGAAGTGCTCTGCGCCAGCTGCCTCTCAAGGCCACCTCTATGGTCCCAGCCATGGTGGAGAATGCACCCAGGCTGAAGGTGGCTGCTTGCTGGGGAAGGAGGCCCAGGCGTGGCAGCAGGAAGGGAATCTAAATCTACCCTCTCCCAGTTTGAATCCCTTACCCCTTGTCCTATCACTACAAGCCCTTGTAAAAAGTCTCTCCCCAGCTTCCTTGTAGGTCCCTTTCCAATACTGGAAGCCTGCAGTAAGTTCTCTCTGGAGCCTTCTCTTCTCCAGGCTGAACAACCCTAAGTCTCATCCTCTCCTTGTAGGAGAGGTGTTCCATGGTGGATCATGTTCTTTGCCCTCTTCTGGACCTGCTCCAAGAGGTCCACATCCTTCTTGTGATGGGGACTCCAGAGCTGGGTGCAGTGCTCCAGGTAGGGTCTCGCCAGAGTGGAGTAGAGGGGCAGAATCCCCTCCCTTGACCTGCTGGCCATGATGCTTTGGATGCAGCCCAGGACGCAGTTGGGGCTTTCTGGGCTGCAATCACACATTGTTGGCTCATGTTGAGCTTTCCATCAACCAGCACCCCCAAGTCTTTCTCCTCAGGACTGCTCTCAATCCATACTCTGCCCAGCCTGTGTTTGTGCTTGCTCACATACCACAGGGCTGTGTCCTGTTGGTGAGGATGTCCTCAGCCTGCTTCGCTGTCACCTTGGCTCCTTCCCTTGAGGAGCAGCCCACTCTTGCCCCTCTGTGCCAGTTATTATCCAAACGAGCAGAATGTAATCGTTCAAGTGTGGGCACACGGTGGCTGCATAAAGTTGCAACAGCTTTCACTTTTCCTTGCAAACTGCCACTCACCTCCCACTGCTCTGGGGATTTATTCAGAACATCCAGCACGTTGTGGCCTACACTTCATTTACATGCAAGGTTTAAAAAAAAAAAAAAAAAAAAAAAAAAAAAAAAAAAAAAAAAAAACTTTTTTTGAGCTTTTCTTCCACATATAGCAGCTGGGAAGTAATTACTCATGTTTTCTTCTGTGCTGGCATCACGCTGAGGACTCTGCACAGGGTCGTTTTCTGCTGATGGATGGTAACTTGCTAAGCTTCAGTGGCCCAACATGGGTCTGAGCTCAGAGGCTTGAGGGATATTGGGTTTTCTGGGTGAGTTCTGGCTGAGACCTGACCTAAGGTACTGTGTTTCTAATCAAGTTTATTCCTATGATCTTGAGCTTGCAGAGACAGCGACAGCAAAGACACAGAAGGAGAACCTTTGTGCTGGCTCCACACCCAGTGTTCCTACCCCAAATTCATCCTTCCCCTGCTTCCCAAACAAACAGCCAGCTCCAGCTTTGGGCTGTGTCTGCTCTCCTTGTGGCTCATGAAAGCAGAGATTTGGGGAAAGGAGGGGGTTCATCTGTGCCTTCTCCACTCTTGAAGGTGCTTGAGCAACCCCCAAGCATTATAAACAGGGACCAGCTGGGCTCAGATTTTTCTGGAGGATGAATTAGCTGAATCCACTCGCTCAGGAGAGAAGCAGCTACTGGAGAGAAGGGAGCAGAGCATGTGACCAGTGGTTTCTTGCCTCAAAATCTGTAGGCCTATGCCATGGGGTCCTTTGTGCATTAAAAGGTCCTTCCTATGAGACTCTGAACTTGGCCTGAACCCCACAGTGTGTCTCCAGAGCCATTTGTAGTCCGTGCTCTTGTATTCTTCCTACCAGTGCCCATGAGGAACAGCTAAATGCTTGGTGCAGTAGCTTGGGCAGGTTCATCCTTCACCTTTATCCATTCTCCACACTTTCCCTAACAGCCTGAGGGGGAAGGTGAGGTTTAGGACATAGCACATGGCCGTGCAGAGAACTCTACATCCACTGACGTGTTGGATGATGTGGTGGAAAATCTCTGAAGCTCTCCCAAAGCACAGTCCCACCAGCCTGTTGTGACATCCCTCTCAAACAGCTCGGAGCTCAGGCTGAGTGGGATGTCCACCCGTGAACTCTAGTACTAATCCCTGTTTGAGACTCCATTCCTGCCTCAGTCTGCTCTCCCCGTCTTGTGTGCTTTGCCGGGACACTTGTCTCCTGCAACCCCATGGGATGACCTTGTGGGATGGAACTGCTCTGATGTTTCCAGTCCTCCCAGGAAATGAAGAAACACTTTAAAATATTTGGTTATTTTTAATAGTATAAAAATTCTCAGCAAGCGTGCAGGACAGAAGAGCCAGAGAGGTACGAAACTTCACTGGTGCAACATATGGTGGAGACCACAACATCTGTAGGGCCCTCAGATCTCCTCGTTCCCTTCCCACCCTGCTTAGCCTTTGCTGGCAGAGAAGGTCATGTTGGCATGTTCCTTGTAGCTCTGTAGGTACTGCTGCTGGTGGTCCTTCTTTTTCACCTTCATAACGATGTCTTTGAGGTCACCGATGAGCTGCTGAATCTAGGGGTGAGAAGAAAGATGGCAGAGCTCAGAGCAGGAAT